ATCTCTGCTTTACGGTGAGCTTGAAGGCGGTAAGAGGAGGCTGGGTGGACAACTCAAAAGGTACAAGGACATTTTCCACGAAAACTTACAAGGGATTAACATGCAGAATGAGAGGGAAGAAGCAGCTCACAATAGAACTCATTCGAGAAGAATTGTAGACTCAGTTAACAGCGACAACCAAAAAGTAAAGAAGCAAGAAATCAATGAGATTTTTGAATGTTCGGAGTGCGGTAGGCAGATAATATCACGTATCGGGCTTTTCAATCACAGAAAAGCTCATGAAAGAAAATGCCTTACGTGACCATCTTCTGATGCTTGTCAAATACTCGTCAGCGAGTAATGGCAATATGTATGTATCTTGCCTAGCCTACAGTTGTCAAACCCTGTATATTAAATATGACAAAGTAATTTTTATCAAAATTTTCAGTGAAAAAATATTTTTACAACCCTGCTCTGTATCACCGTCTGCCAAGCTTGTCTTTCTATGTCGTTCGATCAACCATTTGGAGCTTGTTTGGCTCTCTAAGTGAGACTATCGTAAAAAGTAACGACCGAAATGGTAATGCGGTCATTCTTGAGCCAGTTGGAGCGACGTCGCCGCCATTCGATAAAGTCGTATTTTAAAAAGCGTGTTATTTTGTTGGAACGTGAAATCGATAGAAAGGCAATTGATTTAGCTTAACTTAAATTCATACGGTGTAAGATAAGAAAATATTGTTAAAGTATTTTCTGTTTATTACCAGTTATTATTTTAAATAATTGCTGATGAACGATTACAATTTTATATTTTTTTTACTTTTTTTACATATTTCATATTATGAAGCATGCATTTTTCTGCCTTTCTCTTGTGAGTTTTTTTAGGATAATTAGGGTACGCACTGGCATGTAATTTATAGTCGGCCGACTATTTAGTTGTAAAATTGAAAACAATACATTCTTATGGAGCCGATCGGCCCAATATTTGATTACATTGCGTAGCCGTAGGTTATGTGCTAACAGGCAATTTTTAATCGGCCGACTGTTTAGTTGCATATTTCTAACCAATATATCCTTATGGAGCCGCGGTCACATGCAATCAAATATTCGGCCGATCGACTTCATAAGTATGTAATGTTTTCACTTTTGCAACTAAATAGCCGGCCGACTAAAAATTACAGGTCAGCGTGCAGGCTTATTGTGTCAAATCCCCTCACAGTATCCATGGTATTCAAATTCAAAATGTCTTGTTTTTCAAATTAATATTTTGTAGTTAGTTACCTAAGTTTTAGATATTTTTTTTGTAGCTCGGTACCTTATCTTTGTTGTGTTTTATTTATTCCTATGCAATATTATTTTTTTTAATTGCACATAAGTTATATTGATAAATATAATAATAAATGTGGGAAGTTTCTTGAAGTTTGAAAGTAATAAATAGGTTGCTCTTTTTAATAGATTTTTTGTATGTGGTGTTTTGTTTAACACACGCCCTTGTTTGTTTTGTATTAACACATACCGTAATTTTTTTTTAATTTTAATTATATTTTTTCAGTTTCATACAGTTTTTTTTAACAATATTTTAGGGTAATCACTTGTCACTCAGATTTTAAATACAGTTCATACCAAATAAACTTTTAGTCACGTGATTAAGCTTGACCGGCACAGCGTTGCCCATTTTTTATATTTTCTTTTAATCAAAAATATATTAACAGTTATTATTTACATCAACAAAACTCCACCATTCATCAACGGCCATTACTACCGCCTTCACGTTCAAAATATTCTAATAAAGTTGCGATGAGTTTTTTACGGCTATTAAGCTATCTTGTATACTTCGCACTAAAAGAGGTTCTAAAAAGAACAATGTTCGATCTGCTACTAAACATACAATAAATGCGGCAACTTCACATTTTTTACAACAGAACTACCACCTGAATCCCCAGAGCGACATTTAAATTCCAGTTAGTCAGCAAGGCGTCGAATATGTCCATGGTTGGCAACAATGAATTTAAAAATCGCGCCCTCGATTACGTAATTAAAAAGTTTAATTGATATCAAATATATATGAATTTCCTGCTATGCGTTCCAATTGTACCAACATATTTCTTTGTAAAATAAAATCAACTACTTTGAAATTAAAATAACAGACACATCTATCACTGTCAAGGGTTTTGTCATTGGACAGACTATAGCAGTAAGCGCAATTAAAAAATAAGGAAGAATAGGAGCCAAGTCTTGACGTCTAGGGTTGACCCTTGCCAAAATTATTATCGATTTTCCAGTCATCTTTGACGCCGTTTTTTTTTCGTTTGTATGGACAAACGAAAAAAAAAAACGGCGTCAAAGTTTTACCATTAAAACTCTAAGAAATATATTGATCTAATTCTTTTGATCAAACTATGATAATAGATGTAACAAAGAAGAACCACACTAGTTCAAACACTGCCATATTAATATAACCTCCCTTTTCAAACCATCGTAAAACTTTTTTAATTTCACCATCCTCTCGGTTCCAACCTGGCAAAAGTTTCCGCATTCTTTCCACAATTTTCCACTCCGAATTTGTGGCCGTTTTAGACACAGCTCAATTATTTTCCCTAGCTCCGAACCTGCTCCCAACAGGTTCGGTATAATTCTCGTTAAACCTTGAGCGGGGCGCTTATTGTTCTGTTTGTTCGACTTTTGGCGACCTTAAGGATTTCTCCCTCTTTAAGGTTACCAGGTTACGAAGCTCCTCATTTTCTCGTTTAATTGGGAAATTATTTGTTTAATTTGGTTAGCTTTAACTGGAATTATAATGAAGTAAGCGTAGCTGCAAGAGAAAGATCTATAAGAAATATGTAATTCTCTATTTACAGGGTGGTTCGGATTGTATTCGGAAAATTTCGGCAGCATATTATATTCTGCTGACGAAAATAAGTAAAAAATTGATTTAAATGTACTCGTATATCCTAAGATGCTTCGAAACGAAGCATTTTAGGACATAAATTTATTCGGACTTTTTTGCTTATTTTAATATGCAGAATACGCTACCGATGTTTCTGTATATCAATTTTCTTTTAATGAAATCTACAAAAACTTATGCCGATTGTGTCACCGAAGGTCACTAATAAAAAAATAAACTCTCTTGAGTAAGTAATTAAAAGAGTATTGGTTGGTAAGTAAATAGTGAAAAAGTAATAAAAGTAATTAGAGTAAACTCTTGAGTGAAATTTTTACTTTGCTATAGTTTTTGCTTTAAATTGATTTAAAAATTACATATGAAAAATTAACCTGTTGCGCTTGGGTATCTGTCAAATTTCTCATTTATAGTAATAAATGGTAATAAAATATGTACCACTTAATTTTAGGACATGTAAAAAATACAACATCTATTAGCAGCAACAACAATAAAACAGTTAACATTTCCTCAATGTCTTTGTTAGCTTTCTAGTGGACGCTGACTTTAACACTTAATTGATCAAGACAGTAAAAGCATTCAAATTAATATTAAAATTGAGATATCCGATCTCATCCGGCCTTGAACCGGCGTGAATGAGCAGTGTGTTTCAATAGATTTTACACTTTTCCCTTTTGGACAACAGCACGATGCAAAGTTTCGAACCGGTCACGCGTCCATCCACTAGCATCGCCTTACGTCGCTTAACTTCGGTGTTCTAATGGGAACCGGTGTTTCGACGTAGCTGGGCCGTTGCTATAAAATATATATGAATAAAGTTTTATTTTTTTAAGTATTGTCAGTTTAATCATATTTGAATCAAACACATTCATAAACAATCCATCCTTTGTGTTAGGGCGTTATTGATCAAATAGGACCAGCAAAACTAGTTGGACATTTTGAAATGCACCAAACTAGTTTTGCGCAATTCAAACTGTACAATACTAGTTTTGACTATTTTGTAATGCGCAATACCCGTTTAAATATACAATTTCGGGTTTGGAAAATATTTTTTGCTCAAAACTAGTTCTGTGCATTTTTTTCGGGCATTCCCGAATTCGTGTATTGTGCGTAACATATACAATAATGACCGGTCATTACTGTTAAAGGCCGGTTCTAAAAATCGTTTGACTAGAAATGTAGTATTTGTTTGTGTATTCTATGGATAGTATAATGGGTGTGTCTCAAAAGTGGCTCATCGCTATACCTTTTTTATTTTTTCAGATCAAAAAAACGAAATTTGGTATGTTAGTTAGTATATGAAATAAAGTAGGATCAATTATTGACGTATTTAATAATTGTTTTGGTCACTTCCTGTTCCACCGGAAATGATTACAACTTTTTATTTTTAAATCGCACCCTCGGTAAGTTTCTACTTTATTCGATAGAAAGTCATACTCTGAATATAATGATATGCCAACTTTTGATAATTTCATTTAAAAAAAATCGTATTTTAAATTTCTTTCTAGAGTAACATGATTGTGTTGAAAACACTAACTTTTAATCAAGGAGCCTTGTAAAAATAAATTTGATCATCTAATGTTCTTCGTGTCTTGTCCTATGGATAAAATGCCCAAATCGTATTTTTAATCATGTCAATTTTGGGTGGCTCATTAGCATATTTGGAAAAGGAATTTTTTGCGAATAATTTGGTACCGCCACTTGGAATTTCGAGTCAAATTGTCGTTATGAACCGCATATGTTACAATTTCATATAAACCATATTATGTGAAAATGTAAAAGATTGACATACGATATTTTATTCTATTCAGAGTGTCATTTTCAATCGGATAAAGTAGAAATATACCGAGGGTGCCATTTAAAAATCAAAAGTTGTATTAGTTGTCATTTTCGGTGAAACAGGAAGTAACCAAAAACTATTAAATACGTCAATCAATCCTCATTTATGTCATATGCTAACATACCAGATCTCGTTTTTTTATCAGAGCAAATGAAAAAGTTATCGGTGTGAGCCTACCTAACTTTTTTATTTACTTTAACTTTTGAGACGCACCTGGTATATTAAAAAAAGCAAAATACACCCAACATTTCTACAAATAAAAACACTATTGGATAATAGACTTACCTGTATGCGTTCTGAGGTGCGCTTTTAAATGCGAACTCTTCCCATAAGCCTTGTAACACCCTTCGTACGAACATTTGTGCACTTTCCTCATGGACATCCCATACCTCTGTCCACCCTGTGACCTCCCCACCGTAGCTTTTTTAACCCCGAACAACTTCTCCCGCGAATTCAGCAGTTTCTTCTCCACTTTACTCCTGTTCAAATGCACCGCCACAACCGACACTTTTTTCGACAATTTTTTCGACAGATCTTTTCTCCTCTCCTGTTCAATTTTCGTTTTATTGTCGTTAGAAAAGTTCACGCGAGTCCCCTGGTTCTCTGTGTCTTCCGAAGGTACTTCCACTTCCGGTACTGGTTCCTGTTTGATACTGTTCAGGTCTGTAAGGATGCGCGCCACCATATATGAGGAGGATTTTGAGTTTTTCATTTCGTTATCGTCGTCGTCAAGGTTTTTGGTCGTTGTAGGAGTGATGGTGTCATGGTCTTTGGCGTTGGAGAGGTCTAAGGGGAGGTAGGGGTGATGATGGCGGCTGTAGGACATCTGGACCAGGCATTGAGCGGCGAAGTTGATATCGTCCATGTTGGAGGAGAAGTATTCTGAAAAAAAAGTATAAGTAAAGAAATAGTAACGGTTTTCTTTGTGGTATGTTTATCAGTTTTTGTAGTATGTTCTTTTAATAGTTTTATTATTTTTATTATCTAAGGTTGCACCATGTGGTGAATGCGCCACACACACGACAAAATGGTATGTTTAGCTTGACAAAAATCCAGATTAGTTTTTTTTGTCGTATGATTCACACATTGATTTTCTTATTATAATTTTTTCTTTTTAATTAGAGTAGTACAAGTGTTACCGAAAATTGATGCAGTTCGCACTTTTCGTGGAGCGCAAAAGAGTGTCATTTACACCCAGCACTGCTATTTGAATTTTTCCTATTGTCAATAATATATAAAAAAAAATTGTAATAAACTTATAAATTCATAACTTAGAATATATGTCTTCTTAAAACCCAAAATTTGCGATTGCTGATTCTTTTATACCTGTATCAACATACATTAGATATTTTAATTTTAATAAACCAAAAGCGGACCTCCGTGGAACTCACTACTATAACTCATTATGAAAACAAAATTATAAAAAAATGAACCCAAAATAGTGTGTTTAAAATATATTTTATCTACATTCAAAACAGTTCAAATTTATTATATTGATGTTATTTAATTATTTGTACTATATGGCTGTAGCTATATTATCCTTAATAATAATTAATTTTCAAATGGCTGTGCTGGGTGCAAATGACACTCTTTTGCGCTCCACGTTTGTGCAAGGCTAATGCTCTATCCAGAAAGTGTGAAAACTATCCATTAACTTTCAGTAGCACTTGCGCAGTTATAATTGCTCGGAAAAAATTATAACATTTAAAATTAGGTCCACAGATCTTATAAGAATGACAGTGAGTGGATGAACATGCAAAAAAAAATATTTCTAATTTTAATTTTGTCAAGCTAAACATTTTGCCGTATGAGCGCCGGGTCTAAGGTCTAAGACTTATTTTTGTTGATAGTCATTCATGATACAAGAAGGTTAGATAAGATCGCGGTCGCAAATCTGTTCTCCGCGCGCATGACGTCACTAGGGTACTAGTAATTTTCTGTTAAGCTCCGCCCATTATATGCGTATTATCTTATCTAACCATCCTTGTATCATGATAGTAATTAAACAGTTAAGCGGGTGTTGTTTAGGATTCAATGTCTTCTTGTTGTTGGCATAATCAATCAATATCTGAAGATACGAAGATATAGTTACGTCAATGCGGCAATGATTAGAATGGTCATTGACGGAAACAGTACTGGAAGAATTTTTAGGTCAGGGGCTTGGAACACTCTCAAAAAGAGAATATTCCACTTTTCCAACTCCCAGTGGATGACATACCAAGAACGTGGTATACTGATGCTTTCTGAACCAAAGCAGTCAACCTTGTCAACAATGAAAAAACAAACGATCTAGCTAGAAAAAAGTAGCGAACACTCCACTAGATCAAAACCTTTCTGTTTTCCAAGTGGAAACCAACTTAAAGTGGAACTAAAAAATCTGGAAGACTCCATCCGTAACCTGGAATGGGAATCCTCCAATGGTCTAAGACACTCGAAAAAGTTCCTCAGAACTTGCGACCGAGAAAACTCAAATATTTTCCTTGATTTATGTAAATGACAATGTCTCCTCAACGAACACTTCACTGAGAAGCAACAACAAAATATGCAGATTCTGTGGGGAAAATGGGGAAACACCAGACCACCTTATCACTGAGTGTGCCGAGACGAAAACCGTTCGTGCCATAAACTTTGATACGGCTGTTGTCAAAGATGGAGAGTTGGCCTCTGTGAAGCCGTCGCAGATACTGGCTTTTGTCAAGAAAGGGGAATACACAATAGATTTGTAATTATTTATGCTGAAGAATTCTTTATCATTCCAGTCAGAATTAAAATTAAATGGTTTATCATTGTTGATTATAACCTAAAATATTTTTCAAGACTAACCAACACAAACACAAAAATCGATAGGTTTCAGTTTAGAATTAATAAAAATCAGGGCGGAGAAAGGATCTGGAAATCCCTAAAGTAGGTCCCTTTAGCATCGCCGCCAGTTGTTTTCAACGGTCTAATAGAATAGAAATTGGCTGCGAGAGGGCCAGCTTCTCCCCAATCTCCCCCGCGTCTTGCAGAAACTCCTTCAATTATACGATGTAGGCCAAGTGTACACTTAGCATTCTGTGTTAAGTCGGTGGCGAGTTGTGTAACTACAAAAACATGCTTGAATTTTATTTTTGTTTGTCCTTTATTTGAAACTGGAACGTTTTCGAGTAATGTACTAAGGTAGCGTGTTGTTTTATACATATTGATGATATTTTGTTGGTGTCACATGTGAAATAAATTTTTGATGGGGAAAAATAAAAACACTAAATCACCACAATACACCAAAACACTTTTTCTTTTACACTGGACGCGCGTTTCGCTAACCATGTTAGCATCATCAGCAGATGATTATAAACTAAAGTACAATCTACAAGTTGAGCGTTTTTATACTCGCCCAGTGGGCACCGAGTGGGCGTGGCAAAATCTAGCCAACCGAGTCAGAGCCCACTGAGCGTAACAGTTAGATTTCCGCCACTAGAGTAGTAGGAACAAAGAACTTGAAGGAATTGGACCGTTGACTCTGTTCATACTATCTTTACATTTATTAATTCTGATGCTTTCATATGCATCTAATTGCTTGTAATTTGAGACTTACTTGTTTAATTAATTTTAAATTATTAAGTTCTATACAATGTTCTTTATCAACAATATGTTCGGCAACGCAAGATTTATCCGGTCTACCATATCTTATCTGAGCAAAATGTTCTTTAAATCTAGTTAATATTGATCTTCTAGTTTGCCCAACATATTTCTGATTACAATCTTTACGGGATAACACTCTATCAAACGGTATCGAAAAATATTTAGACGTATCTTTCTCCACTTGAAAAGTCGAATTTTCAGAAATCATTAACCTATACCTACGTTTTCTAATTAAATTATTAACTAGTGAAGGAGAATATCCATTACACTCAGCTACATTCCTAATGTCATCTCTTTCTATTTCATATCTTTCGTTGGAAAGTGGGAAACTAAGTAATCTATGAACTAAGAAATTTAAACTAGCCATTTTATGTTCAACACTATGATGATACTATGATAGGAATATATCTGCGTGTGGTCGTATTTTTCCTATAGATTCCAGGCAATTATTAGTATTTCTAATAACTAATACATCTAGAAATGGTAATCTGTCGTTGTTCTCAATTTCATGCGTAAATTTAATGGAAGGAAAACGATTATTTAACTTAGAAATAAAATTATCTATGGTGTCTGAATGTGTGTCAAAAACAGCAAAAATATCATCCACATACCTAAACCATACTCTTGGAAAATACTCAAACTGATTCTTAGCCTCCACTTCAAACCTGCTCATGAATAAATTAGCCAAAAATGGAGACAATGGATTACCCATTGCTGTACCTTCCCGCTGTTCAAAAAAGTTGTTATTAAATTGAAAACAATTTTGTTTCATACATAACGATGTAAGCTCAATATATTTACTCACAGTTTTGTTGTGGAGACCATTTGCGTTCAGTAAACCCTTCAAGTAGCCTAAAGTATGTGGAATTGGAACACTTGGGAACAACGAAGATAGATCAGAGGAGACCAAAATTTCACCTTCATGCAATGTTATATCTTTAATTTTGTTAATGAATTCAATATTATTTTTAACTGAGAAAGAACGTTCATGATCAGGTAAATTTTCGAACTCCCTTGATAACCATTTTGCCAAATTATAAGTCGGAGAACTTACAGCCGAAACAATTGGGCGCATAGACTTGTCCGGTTTATGAATTTTTGGCAAAGCATACAATTTTGGTAATGAGGGATTGGATACTTGCAATGGGGCATTAAATAACAACATACAGGGTGTCCCAGGCTGAGCGTTCATTTAAAGTTTCTAGATAACTACAATATCTAGATTGCAGATTTTTTGAACATCATTGTTTGACAACGAGATCTATCGATTAAAACTATTTTCAATATGGCGGCACTTCCGGAAATACCGGAGGTGGACAGCAACTTTCTTATTTTAAATGGATACCCTCATTTTTTATTACACAATTAAATTTTCTGTAATATTTTATGAATTTTGATGTCAAACTAAAAAAAAATATTTAATTTTTTTTCCAAACCAGATCAAAAAAATGAGTATAGCCTAAACGTGACATAAAAGCCACTGTGACATAAAATGAAGACATGTTTGAATCACGGCTTTAAATAAGAAAGTTGCTGTCGACATCCGGCATTTCCGGAAGTGCCGCCATATTGAAAATATTTTTAATCGAAACATCACGTTGTAAAACAATAATGTGCAAACAATCTCCGATCTAGATATCGTACTCCAGAAACTTCTAATGCACGCTCAGCCTGGGATACCCCTATATTCCTGCACTGTCAGTTTTTTTACGTCATCTAGGGACCGAGTTGAAGTTGGCGCTAAAGATTTTAGTCAGTGACAGTTATTTTTGCATTTGACGGACGAGCGCACAGTGCGTTAGAAGATAAATTTAGCGGGACAAAAGCGTTTGGTTAGAAATAAGCCAAAAAATGTGTACTGTAAGAATTAATAGTAGACATTCCAATTGATACAAAAATGCATGAATATTCTTTGTATTTCGATACATTTTTATCAACCAAATTTGGTCGTTTTCTGCTCAGCAAGGCGGAGATCATACGAAAACAAAATATTTACAAGTGCATATACATTTTATTAGAAAGCCAAATTATGTTGACGATTGCCAAAGGTATGTACTTTTCTACTGTACATATATTATTGTTAAAATCCTTCGTGCCTTTGTTCTGCAGATATCAAACTTTCACTTTTTTTCAAATATCGATATATTGAATGATGTAGATCTTTTGAGTTACCAATAGTTACCAACACAGGTAGTCACAGTCACAGGGAGTCCAAGCTTAACAGGTGAATGTCCAAAAAGATTTATTTCAATCGGATTGTA